ACGCATTCGCATTGGTTGGATTTGGTGAATGAAGCAGATTATTGGTCATCAGGCAGCAGAAGAGCTGAAACGTTTCATTCCAACAGTCTGAACTAGTTTGTGTCCTTCAGTTCTAAACTAGCCTCACGTAGTCGGATCATGTAGAACGGTCTGCTGCACCAATCATTGCTCTGCTACAGGAGGGGAAAAAACGTTCTGGTGTGTTTGGATTTCATTAAACCAATCACAATCAGTTTGGGGGCTGCACGGTGGCTCAGTGGTTAGCACGTCGCCTCACAGCTAGAAGACTACCGGCCTGGGATCTTTCTGCGTGGAGTCTCCATGTTCTCCCCGTGCAGCGTGGGTTCTCTGGCTTCCTTCCACACAGTACAAAAACATGCTGAGGTTAATTGGTGATTCTGACTTGTGAGTGTGTGAGTTTGTCTGTCTCTAAGTGTAGTCCTGTGATAGACTGGTTACCTGTCCAGGTGAACCTGCCTTCACCCTGAGTCAGCTGGGATACGCCAGCAGTATGCAAGTACCGAGCTGTCACTCTAAAGCCTGTTAGCCAATGGGATGAGAGCAGCCCACCTGAGCATCAGGCAGCCTAAAGTGAAGCTAAAAGTCTGATCAGAGGAAAAGAAGCAGGGGGAACCGTAAGCAGCTGTACATTTTTAAAAACCAATAAAATCTTTTGTTTGCAAGTTGAAGGTGACATTTCTTTTTTTTTTTTTTTTGCTTTGCTAGGAGTATTGATTGATTATACCGGCACCATTCCAATAACTTTCATCCAATCATATAGCATAAACGAATAGCTCTTCTGATTTGTACAAAGATGTGATACAAGCTAAGCGTATTTTAAGGGTTGGGTTTTTTTGTTCTACTTGCTTTATGAAAGACTGTATTACGGTCAGAGGAGCATTTTAAAATTTCTTCCCTAAAAACACGATCATTTTCTAAAAAACTTCATTTACAGAGCAGATTAACGTGATTTTGGACGTCTGCAGTGTCGAGGTTACTACAGTCAGGCTGTCTGTGTTTAACATTCAGAGCCTGAACTGAATCAACACGTGTCAAATTAAATCCAGTTTGTTGAACAAACCAAAGCCAGGAACGATACCTATCGAGTCATTTAGTAAAAGCCTGCCGTGTGTTAATATTCTTTGTACTTGCAGCCCTAAAATAAGCAGATAATGAACTGATTGGTAATTTGTAGTACTTTAGGGGAAAATAGTGAATATCTGTCAAACTCCAGCTAACAATGAAACAGACACATGAAGAATAAAGCTTCTAATAAAAGGTGAATAATTCATTAATATTCATGATATAAATATTAATGCTCCTCTTAGAGTTGCTCATTTTCAGGAAGTATTTTTAGAGAAATTTCAGATTGTCTGTTTTCTTTTCTTTGCACATTAAAGTTGAAGCATTTTATTCATATCCTGCATGAAACTGTACTTTTGTTCTTACACCTTTTAAGCCTTCATGTCACCGTGTGTCTCCTTCATTGCTGTAATGTGCTGCACATATAAATGTACCTTTTGTGTTTTCTGTCGCACTGAACTGAGTATTTTCACAAAACAAGACTTGAGGATGTAACATTTGGCTGCACACAGAGGGATGTTTCCATCAAAATAATAAAGCAGCAGCAGCTTGAATGTGTCACCAATAACCAGCTGAGTCACGTTCGTCTGCTGTTGGAATGAAACCCTGCAGCTCCTGCAGGTTAATCTGCCCGGCGACAGCGGTCACATGATCCAAACTAAATGAAATATTTCTGTTGATTGCTCTGAAAGTTTTCTCTTTTTGGGACGTCTGAACATGAATATACGTCTGTGTGTGTGTGTTAACATCTGCGCTACGAACACTGTTCATCTAAAATACTTTACAGATACTTTAAACTGACGTCAGTGTTGAATGAACTCCATCTTTAGTGCAATTAGTTAACATGCTCGGAGCATCAAGTCCTGCGACCGCAGCTGTTTAACAGGCATGCTCTTAATATTTCCAAGCTAAATCTCAGAGTGAGGTCCGGTTTCTGCACACGAGAGAAGTCCTGGAAGAGAACTTTTCCACAGCAACCAGAGAGGCTCTTCAGTTTGCCCTCGTGGCTGAAACTAGTACGTTTCGAAGTGAAGGAGGTGTTTGACAGACAGGAGGTGCATGATGGGAACAGTCGCTGCACCGGTTACATCTCAGGACAGAAACATGTCAGCAGGTCAGAACAAACTCAGCTCTTTAAACCGACTGAACCCAACCAACGTCCAACCTGCAGACTTCACACTGAACCTGAACTTAATGAGAACGCCCAACACACTCACTACAAATTCGTCTAAATGTTGCTCAGATTTTCATTGAATTCCATGAAAATGCTGCTACTGTATGAATCTAGTCCCACTGTTGGTCAGACAAGCATCAGGCGGCGCTAACTTGGTGCTATTTAACTCTGCAAACCCCAAAACGTACAAATTCAAAAGACGTCATCTTGAAAAAGATCACCCACATGACTCTATTTAACTGTAAAAACATAAAGAACAATCAGATTTGAACAAAATCTGAGCTTCAAATCATGACATTCCATCAAATTTACTGTATTCTACGTCTCATTTAAAATTTGGCATAAATAAGATGTTTGCTTTAACCAGATTCTGTTAAAACAAAAAAATTCTTCCCTCTTTCGCTCAACTGATTCTCCAGGACTGACTCAGCTGTGACCAAAATTCAGAGCGTATACCGGTGAACTGTAGGCAGTGTTTCCACAGAGTAGAGAGGCGGGAAGCTAATTATAAATGTCTACAGTTAAACATGTGAAGCCCCCATTTTTATTCCAGTGTTGGTAAAACCTGGACACATATTTCTGTTCATTTCTGGGATTCTAACTGGATCAGTTTTGAGTTATTTCAATCAAGTTTTAAGTCATTTTGGACGGGTTTTTAAAATTAAATGTAATTAATTGTGAACATGTTAAGTCATTTGGTACAGCTAATTTTATTTTCAACTAATTTTGAGTCATATTAGACAAATGTTTAGTCATTTAAAATACTTCATATAATTTTGGGCAGATTTTTGTCATTTTTTACTTTTTTTTTTTAATTTAATTTTGGGAACAGCATATTTTCTCTTCAGCATTTATCCAGCTGTTAACGTGAACTCAAACTGTCCCAAAGACTTCTGCTGTAATATCCTGAGGAGTCTGAGAGAGAACATTCAAACCATCTGACCTGTGGTGTCTCTCTGGTGACGACACACCAGCTTTTTGTTCCCAACAACACGACTGTCGCTCTCCACCTGCCCTACTTTCCAGATTTGTCTCCCTGTGGCTTCTTTTTCCCCCAAAAAGAAATTTCAGTTTAAGTGTATCTGCCTGGACTCAGCTGAAGAGACTCAGCTCATCACAGGTGGAGCCTGACGTGTTTCCAGAACATGACATCCAGGGAACATCAGTAGTGCTGCAGGAGCTCTGGGAGCAGAGCATCACTGCACAAGGAGACGCTTCAACAGGGATGGAGGTTACACTGAAATCTGGTTTTTGATGTTTATGTCTCTGAGCTTTTTGGTCACATCTCACATGTTTGTCTCATGAAACTGATTTTAGGATGTCCTGAAAGACATTTCCTTCAGCTCCGTCCTGATGACTCAGTTAACTTCATACAGTTTGGTTCAGTGTGTTACAGTCTGGAGGGAGGACTCGTGGATTCAGCCTCACACTCTGTCAACCTGCAGGGCAACAAGGCAACGTGTTGGGTGACCAGGACAGGCAACGGAGGGTGAGCTGCCTTAGCAGCGCCGCTGCTTCCATCAGCGAATGAAAGGATTTGATATGACTCAACAAATCAAAGGTCGACTTGCTGGCTTTTCTCTGAGCTTTTAGCACTCTGACTTGGGACTGAAATCGTTGCTCAGGTTGCCCAACCGGTTGCCCAACCGGTTGCCTCGTTGAACATAAGAGAACATTAAAGCTCAGACAGCCGCGCGGTGGGTCAGACTTTCTGTCTGAGACGATGCTGAACAAACAGAAGCAGGAAGACTTGTTGTCTGATGCGGTCACATGATGCAGTTTGTTTTATTGCTGACTGTCTGAACTCTGGAGGCTCCGCCCACACATCCCTCCGCCTTCCTCTTCTCTGGATTTTAATGGAAACAACTTGTTGACTTAGAGATCCGATCCAGGTGATGGTTTGCGGAAATGATGTAAATGGACGTCCGACTGAACTAAGAAGCTTCGTGACGAAGAGCCTTGACCGACTGCCGCGACCAGGTGAGTCATGTGACCGGAGGACAGGTCACGTGTTGTAGAACCAGCGTAAGACTTCAAAACTGGATTTCAAAGCCCAAACACAGAGCAGCTGTTAATCAATCTTCTGATTTTTTTTATTCACTTATGGTTGTTTGCTTTAGAGAAAATCTAATTTAGGCAAAGGAAAATTTAAAAATGTAAAACTAGAGATGATGAACCACAGGACCACAGGACCGGCAGATTTAAACTAAAGTTTGAATCCAGTGTTCTTCACATTGACTGAAGTGAACTCCTGTCACATAGAGTTTTATATAAAACCAGTCAGTCTGATGGGGTTTCTCCATTTTGGACAAATCTTGTCATTTTGGACAATTTTCCATCCAGCTGATTCTTTATCTACATTAACTTTATTATATTCACTGAATCCAGAGTTTTATCTTCATACTATGAATATTTTCTGTGTTACAGGCCTTTGGTGCGCATAGGACTGGGTACAAATTTCACACGTCTTTTTGGTGAATTATCTGAATTTTTTAAGACGTTTTTCTTGTTCTAGTCATTTTATGTGTCATCGTAGTCGTTTTGATACTTATACTACATTTAGTCTTTAGACTGTGACACCTGGATGGATGTAAAACTGGTAGAAGCTTTTTTTAACAGAACTCAGATGTGTTCTTCCTCCTGAAATGGCATTGATGCAGTTCTGAGGCTCAGAAATGATAGAAAAGTCCACTAAAGTGATAAATCTGGAGCCTCCTCTCTGGACTTCAAGGACCTGGAACTCTGGAATATTCACCGTATGAAGGTAGAACTCTGCTTCATTGCATATACTGAAGTTATTGTAGATAAAACAAATGTGCTGATTGTGCGGAGGTCGGGGGACACTTCCCTGTTCTTGGTCACATGACTTTCACCTCGCAGCTGGCAGCGGTCCGCTGACGCTCATGACGACACGTCCAACACAGAAACACTGATCTTCAGCCTCTGACAGCCAATCGGATTTGGGTCCCGGTGACATTCAGGTAGTGTTTCCATGACGACGGAGCTTTATGGCTGCTTGTTCCACCTGTCCACAGGCCCCGCCCCTTTGATGACACAACTATCCAACATGGAGTCCAGGTGAGGAGTGGTGTCGGCGAGTGGCAGGTCGTCTCCAGAACAGAAACATCACCAACAAAGAAAAAAGTGGCTGAAGTGTTAGGAACCGAAGAGTGAGCGATGAGTTCAGTGAGTTTTATAAAAAAGGACATCACTACGAAAAAATGCATCAGCCGGTTTAAAATCTGCAGCGCTTCAATATAAAGTGCTTCATTACATTGTTACGTTTTTACAGTTTCTTATTAAAATATCGTTTTCCCTGGAGTGAAACCATAGTAAACATGTTACACGTTGGTAAAAATAAACATTTGGAATGTCTCTTTTTTAAGAAGTCCCATTGGCTGATTTTGGTCAAGCTGAACTCGTCCCCGGAGCCTGAAACAGGAAGACGCCCACAAGGTTAACAACGTTCATCATCGGCAAACACGACAGCTGGTTACACAGAGGTGGAGCTGAGAGCAGAGCATCATGGGAGATGAGTTGGTGGCGTCACAGCAAGATGTTAGCAGCACTGAGGTCTGGAGTTACTTACGTCTTGGTGCAGCATCTGACCCACCTGTGGCAGGTGGGCAGCTCCTGACAAACTACACAATCACTAATGTCACTGAACTGTTGTGTGTTTGGATTGTGTTGTGACAGGAAACTCTCACGTGGCCCAAAATGACTACACTTTTGGGTTTGCAGTCGTTTTGTGTCTCTTTGCGGTTGCTTTGTGTGTCTTTGAGGTAGTTTTGTGTCCCTTTGCAGTCAGTGTTTGTGTTGTTGAGGTTATTTTGTAGTCTTTGTTGTCATTTTACGGCTTTCTGTAGTCATCACTTTGTAGTTGTTTTGCGGCTCTTTGCAGTCATTTTGCATCTCTATGTAGTTGTTCTTTGTCTCGTTGTTTAATGCCTCTCATCGTATCGGGACTCTTTGTAGTTGATTTGTGTCTCTTTGTCATTTTTTGATTGTTCTGCATGTCAATGAGGTCATTTTCTGTCTCTTTTCCCTTCACAGTCATTATTTGTGTGTTCTGGTCATTTTTGTCTTTGTTGTCATTTTGCAGCTCTTTGCAGTCATTTTGTGTCTCTGTAGTTTGTTTAGCAGATGTGAAAAGTATTGTAATTTAACCTCTCCAAACACTGGAAATATCTAAAACGTGTTTGGTTCTACTGGTTCTACTGTGACCTCAGGACATAGAGCGAGTATCCATGCAGAAGCTCAGACTCAGCAGATCAAACTCTCACAAAGCAGAGTTTAATGTTGTAGCAACAAGATCCACAACATGGACGTTCTTTGACTTCATGCACATTTTTAATGAGTCTCTGATTGAATAAGAGCAACGCAGCAGCAAGAGATGGAAGACTGACTGAATTTAAACCAGCCTGTGAATCCACCTGGAGTCATCAGCATGCTGCTAATGATCAGCCTGTTTCACTGATCAATATGGCAGGGAGTGAATCTCATGGAGTGGACATTTTAAATCCAATCTGCTGAAGAATCGTCCCTAAAGAAACGCTGCTACAGTTTGTTATCTGCTGAGTCCTGAAAGCACGACGGTGACAAAAGAAGGTCAAACAGAAAAACACTCAAGCGGAGCTGCAGAGAAACACGTTTATAAAAACCCTTCAAATATAAAAAATACAAAAGTAAAAAATATATTAATCACAAACAGAAATTTGATGAGTTAAGTCCCAGCCGCCATGATGGTGATGATGGTGATGATGATGAGGATGAGGATGATGATGATGATGAGGATGAGTCGTGTTAGCATGCATCAGTGTTCATCCAATCAGCATGCTCGGTTTAGCATGTCTCTTAGCATGCATCAGTCAGCACGTGTGTGTGTTAGCACATTGGTTAGCACGTTTGTTAGCACGTCCGTTAGCACGTGGCGTTGACGGCGGCTGATTTGGCAGAGGGGGCGGAGCTTGGCGTGTGCAGCAGGCTGACGAACAGGAAGAGGGTGGAGGTGGGCAGGTAGAAGCAAAGGAAGAGGACGACGTCCTCGCTGAGACAGAGGACGAAGTCGCTCTGCTCCGTCAGCACCCAGTCCACCAGCACCCCCACCAGCAGGTAGTACACCTGGAACTCCTGAAGCTCCTCCCACTCCCCGCCCCAGTCCGGCCCCACCTCCTCAAATGAGCTCCTCCGCCTGGCCACGCCCCCTCCTCCTCCTCCGTCGTCACTCACCATGGGCTTCATCTCCGCCCCTTCCGACACCGCCTCCTTGACCCGGCTCCGCCCACGCTCCACGGCACGCTCCAACCGCCGACTGCTCTCCACAAACTCCTGCAGGAGCAGAGCGTAGAGGGGCGGGTCATCAGGTGATGGCCGTTAACAAACAGAACACTGAGAATTTTTCAGGTCCTTTATAGACAGACCAACCAGATTGAGCTTCCTGAAGGAACTTGATGGAAACTCATGATGGAACCTGAACCTGATGGATCCTGCAGGAACCTGGTGAAAACTGACTCTACCTGATACAATTTGGTGAAACCTTAAGGTACCTGATGGAACTGTGATGGATCTTGAAAGAACCTGGTGGTACCTGACTGAACCTGGAATCTGGTGGAACCTGATTAAACCTGATGTAATGTGGTGGAAGCTGAAGGTACTTGGACGGAAACTGATGGATCTTGAGCAAACTTTGATGAACCCTAGTAGAACCTGATCAAACCTGAAGGTACCTGATGTAAAGTGGTGGATCTTGAAAGAAGCTGGTGGAACCTCAAGATGTCTGATGGAAGTTATTGGATTTTAAAAGAACCAGGTGGAACTGGGTAAAACGTGAAGACATCTGACTTACAACTGGTGGAACCTGATTAAACCTGGTGGAACCTGAAATTACCTGGAAAAAATTCATGGATCTTTAAGAAAAATGATGGAACCTAATGGAACCTGAAGACCTTTGTTGTGTCCTGCTGGTGAAACCGTCACCTCACAGGTTTTGGTCATTTGTCCCACTGATTTGTAGTGAAAAGATAAAGTGGGCGGGTCTTATCTGATACAAGCCTATCAGCAAGCAGACAGGGAATTGATTAGTAGATTGACACTGACTAATTTTTTCTTTTAAAACATTTGCTGTTTCCAGTTTGTCATACATGATAGTAAGTTGGGTTTGGACCACTGGTCAAACAGCACAGAACATCTGAAGACGCTCCTGCTGGAACGTGGGGACTCACCATCAGAGCTTTGTCCATGAAGAACTCCTTCCCTGGAGTGCCGTCGTTGTACTTGGTGTCGATGGCGAAGCAGAGGAAGAGGACGTCCACCACGATCTCAAAGATGGACAGGAAGCAGTGAGCCACCAGGAAGGAGAAGAGACACACAATGATGAGCGGCAGCAGCCACTCGGCGTAATCCCGCTGGTAGTTCAGAAGGAGGACACCGGCGAATGCTGTCGACGTCACGATCAGGATCTGAAGACACGAGGGAAAACAAACACTGACGGTTCAAATAAGTGGGAGAAACCGCTGGTGGTTATTCTTATTTCAGTGTAAATATCAAAGAAAGTCCTGATCTCATTTAGATCAGCGGTCCATGGGAAGCAGTCTGCACTTATGTAACGCTTCTCTACCTTAATGTTACTCAAGTGCTTTACAATGTTTTCTCATTCACACACATTCATACACCAATGGCGACAGAGCTACCATGCAAGGCGCTGCCTGACATTAGCAGCAACTTCGGGTTCAGTGTCTTGCCCAAGGGGCAGGAGATCGAACCACCAACCTTGTGATCAAAGGACAATCGCCCTACCAGCTGAGTCACAGCTGCCCTTAGTCAATGACCTTTGCCAAGCGAGGACCTACAGATGTACCCGATAAAGGAAACCCTTTAGCGATCAGTACCATCAAGAATCTATGCGTGGTTCTTTGTTTATGTTGACTGCAGGTGTCACAAATTAAAATTTATTCCTATTAAATGCTGTATTTAAAGCAATAATTTAGTAACTGTTACTTAAAATTGAGTACACGAGACATTTGTCCTGTGCTGATACTGACATTGATGCTTTAAGCCACAGACTAACAGGATGTGGAAACTCCTACACTCATCACTATGACATATAGCTGCTAGTCCTAGTTGATCCCAGCTTGTTTTAACTCATGTGTGCTGGCTGGAGGTGATTAAGCTTCACAAAAGACAGTGTCATGGTGGCCCTTTAGTAGTTAAACCCCCATAATGCTCTCTGTTAGCGAACATGACCTGCTGGTAGTCAGAGTGACTGTGTTCTGGGGTTGCTACAGTATTGAACAGTAAAGGGCTCCACCTGGTGGAATAACTGTGTATTACACAGTGACTGTCTGACCAACATTATGTGTCTGCAGCAGGGGAGGCTGTACTTTCAGGACTACACTTCTAGGATCGTTTTCACAACAACCACGCCTCCTGAATTTGGTGGTCGTGATAGTGCGGCCACATCCCACCCAGAGTACTGTTTTCTGTCCATTAACTTATAGTTTTAAAAGTTTATTCCACCAAAATAAAATTCAGTGTTGTTTCCTACAGACACGCTTCTCAATTGTAGGAAGAATTAAAATGCTCTGCAGGGACGTTGTGACCAGTCAGTGACTCAACTATTCTCCTATAGAGAAACACTGCTGCCTCACCTTCCCCAGGAAGAGCACGAAGTCTCCGACGGCATTGATTGTGGCGACGCGCAGAGCGTTTTCCACCAGGATTACGAAGGCGTCGCGTGCAGATGTGCAGAAACTGGTGCTGTTGATGGCTGTGGCTGCATATGCATTCTGGGAAACAAAAGACAGACGGTGGTAAGACCAAAATTACATACAAGATGAGAGACAAGAAGAGGGCCGACTGTCACCTGATTGAGATAGTTGAGGCACTTCTCCAAACACCACAGACAGCAGATACAAGTTTTCAGCAGACAGCGAGCGCACGCGTTCTCCTGAGAAAACACAAAATCATGATATGAGATCAGAAATAAAGTCACTGTTTGTTTTCTCACTAAACAGCAAACAGAAGAAAAACAAAACGAGGGAAGAATTCTGAAACCAGCAGCGTTTAACCATCTGAACCCCAAATCCTAAAGGTGGGTTCAAAAGTGGTGTTACTTAAAAAAAAAAAAAAAAGAAAGAAAAGTAAACATCATTAAAATGACACTATTATCAACCAGAATTAACGAAACAGAATTATTTTAAATTGTCTGATGGTCCTTGAATGTATTACAAATGGCATTATACTGGGAAAGTGAACCAAACCTGAGCTGAAAATTGTGATCTCAAAATCACCAATTTGCTGTAAGCAAATCAGTGTTTCCAGAGAACAGAGTCGACGACAAGAGAGACTGAGAGGAAACTCAAGAAACAAGACAAAGCAAGAAAAGGAGACAAATTGAAAAAATGAAGCACAAAACAACAGAAGGGAAACAAAATAGGACGAAAAAGTGACAAAATGACCACAAAGAGATACGAAATGACAAAAACTACCACAAAATGACACAAAAAAAAGAACAAAACGAGACACAAAAATGTCAACAACGAGACAAAACGGCACAAAACAAAAACATTTTGACAAAACTGTCTCACAGAGTTTGTAGAGTTTGTGTAAACATGTAAGTAGTTAACTGCTTCTACTGTTGGTAACACTCGGAAAACTGTTGGACATGTTGATTCCAGGGCTGCAAAGACCTTTGAAAGGTTGAAAACCCCCCATTTCTGTCTGTTTTTACAGTTTCTGGCTGATAAATTGTGTTATTTTAGAGATTATTTTAAAGACAACACGCCTTTCAAATCTGCCAGTAAGATTCAGGAGACTAAAGGAAGTTCTTCGTACCTTTCCTTTGAGCTGGTTGTGGATGTACATGAGGATGAGTCTGGGAATCTTGACCAGTGTGATGATGAAGGATCCCTTAGCCACGGTGCCCAGGTGGTACCGGACCAGCCGCAGGACTGAGGACAGGATTGGGGTCACCGGGAGTCGGTTCTTGTCCCTGAAACACAAAGTCATATGACCTGTCAGCAGACATCCAGCAGAAGCTTCAGTAAAACGAAGGTGGAGGCTCGATGTCCACATCTGTCCAGACTCGCATAAAACAGGGAGGTAAGAATTGTTCAGAGTCTTTTTTTTTTCTGCATGTATGATTCCAGTGAATAATCTGCAGGGACAAACACATCATCTTCCCTTCAGGATGCTGGATGTTTCTGCAAAGAAGCTACAGATTCTAAAAGCTTCGCACTCGTCTTTAACTTAACACAGAACATCATCACAGCTTCAAGGTGGACTCCAGAGTTGCACCATACTGGAAAATGGAATTGGACTGGATTTTTTAGCAGATGACTTGAATAACTCTGTCTATAAGTATCAATTATTCTAAAATGACTTTGTAGGGAAGTGCATCTGCAGAGAAAATAAAAAAATATTTTGAAAAGCAGTTTGAAATCTTCTTCTTATGGTGTAACTCTGACAAAAACCATTTGAATTAGTTTTAATCTTTGGATGTCATGTAGGCTCCAGCCCTCCCACGACCCCGGTGAGGGCGAAGCGGTGTGTAGAGAATGGATGGATGTCATTCAGATCTTTGTGCTGATGATTTAAATGATCAAACTAAGACCTGCAGACAGAACCTGTTTCTGTTCGGCATCATCTTTTCTGTAGCTGAAATATTTACATACAGCTGACAGAGTCTGCACCATTATGGACAGAATCACTCCAGGAACCGTCCCTGTAGAACCTCAGCGCTGCTTTCAGCTCAAAACAGAGTTCCTGTTCCAGAGTAAGTGTTTGTGAGCGACCCTGAAAAACTGCTGTGTGGGTCTGAACTCAGAGAGGACAACATGTTCAGGAGCAGCCTTCACCTCTCTAACATCAGCACTAACAACGTAAAGTTCTCTATATATACATGGAAGTGGAGCTATGTTGTTTTAGTCACTGAGTTAATGCCGAAGCTGTTGCAAACAGAAAGAATGAAAGGACCAAAGAAGTCACCACCTCCTGCAGCAGCAAAACACTTCACGTGAATATTTGTGCCAAAGCTGAAGACATGTTCTCAGGCCTTTGATAAACATTGTGTTCAAGAGAATGGCACAAATAACAAAAGATATAAAAAGCCTCCACCCTCAGCTGTCACTAGCATGTGTTGTCAGATTTTAAACTGAACAAATGACAAAAAACTGGAAAATGTGATGTTTCAATGATGAGTGAGTTCGACTCATTTGCAAGATGGATTAACCCCTAAACATAAAACACAGGATAGAAAAGGTCGTCTGACACTAGAGCCTGTGTGTGCCTTTATGGCTCATAGTGACCTGGCTCACTAAAACACAAACCTCAGCTGAATCGAAGATGTTTTGAGCATTGAGGGGATGCAGGTGTAACATACAAGAATAACATACGGACTCTTTTGTATGAGTGAGGAGACAGAGGATGCTCTCTTATGGGTGAGAGGTAGACGGTGTGGACGCAGGTGCAAGCCGAGGGATAGTGTAGTCGTAAAAATAATTAGCCACGATTAGATCACACACTCTCAGATGTGAATAAATTCAAACATAATGGTGGCAGAGATGTCTTGATTGGGCTGTGATTTCACAGGAGGAGAAGTTGCAAAGAACATAAGACGTTGTAATGCATTGTTTAGACGGTTAAATCTCCAGATTTGCTCGTGTATATTCCTGCAACTTCTGTATTGAATAAACATTATTCACAACAGACTCTGAAAGCTGTTTAAAGACAATTTCTCTCGGTAACTTTTGAAAACACCAGCAGCTGATCAAGAGGAGGTTTTGTTGACTAAGTGTTGGACGAAGCTGCCTGACCGTCACTGTTGGCGGTCTGAGTCACGACCTGTGCAGGCGTGTGATGAGGCGGGAAGGCGTGTGGACTCACCTGGTGAAGTAATACGTGACCACGGCTCCAGCCACAGTCATCTGCTGACAGGCCAGGATGAACTCGCTGATCCAGACCAGACCCACAGCGTGGTACCAGGTCAGGTACTGCAGAGGACCCGTCAGCCGGAACTCCGTCAGCCCCGTCTCCTCGTTCTGGACCGGGTTACCTGCAAATCCGCACGGACCAGGACCAGTATCCAGAGGGGACAGAGAAACAAAGCAGAACATCAGATGATCAAACAAAATAAATAAATAGTGACTGCAAGAAAGAAACCTGAGCTGATTTCAGCTGCAACAGCAGCTCAAAGAACAACTCAGCTGTGGAGTTTCATTTCATAAAAAAGACAAAAAGAAGGAAAACTGTTTGTTGTTGTTTCTCGTTAGCGTTTGTTGTTGCCGTTTGCTGGCGTTTGCTGGTTTTGTTTGTGTGTATTGGTGGTGTTAGTTGCTGGTGATTGTGGGGGTGTTACTGTTGCTGTTTGTTGGTTGTGTTTGTGTGTGTTGGTCGTATTTGTTGGTGTTGTTTGTTGGTGTTTGTTGGCTTTTGTGTTGCTGAGAGTGGCTGAGGGCAGCGACTGACCGGTGGTTCCCAGGAACAGCAGCACCAGGATCCAGTAGATCCAGAAGAGCAGCAGGGCGAGGAAGGTGACGAAGGGCTGCAGGGTGAGCAGCGGCAGGTGGATGAAGACTTTTCCGGCCACGTGGAACAGAGCGATGGTGAGAGCGACTCGTTTCCTCATGAACAGCATCAGCAGCAGCAGGATGATCTGCACACAGACACACACTCAGTCCTGCTCCCAACAACAAAGCACCACAAACCACGCAGAGACACCTACGGTGAAGACGGTGGCGGCGACGGCGTAGACGAGCAGCGCCTGGCCGCTGTCCCGGCTGACCTCCACCTCCTCCTTCCCCTCCTTCGGCACCTTGGTGGACGTGTCGTTGCCGTAGAGCCGGTGGTCGATGTAGAGCCACCAGAGGACGCTGGTCCCCGCTGAGACAAACAACACAACACCGTGAACACAACACCAACACACAGCAGAGGTCACAGCTCAGACTATCAGAAAGTAGGCTCACCGAGGGATCCAAGGACGACCAGCGAGGTGAGGATCCAGACGAGGACGGCGGAGATGTACCGGATGATCACCATGAGGATCATCGAGAGCACTGAAAGACAAAAAAAGACGCTGATCCTGCAGTCTGACAGCTCCGATCTCTCAGTTTAACTTTTTGGACTCATTGTTCGTCACTGTGGGTTTAATTTTAAATCTAATATTAGGTATGTATGCATATATAGTGTATGTACAGAGTTTAACAAATGCATCCAGCATCATGAAGCGCTTTAATGCCTCAGCTCTCCACGTTTCACCATTTTGAACAGGAATGAGGAATTTCAAACTGGATTCACCTTTTCATATCTGAGCCGGTTCACTGGGCGTCTCTGAGAAGTCGGAAATTAATCAAGCCTAACATTTAACGACTAAAACTTATTTTTCTGATCAGGAATGCAGGTAACTAACTATAATTTGACTTCTTAGTCAAGAAATAATGTGTTTTACTGTTTTTCTGTTTTTTTATAAAACAGTAAATCTGAAAATTCAAAACTCGTAACAATAATAATTATATTTTAGCATTAAAAATATCATTTGGGTCAAAGAGCTTCTACATACTGGTGTATTAACCATTACAGAAACATGAGAAATGATCTAGGTCATTACCAATGCTGTTAATTTAGGGCGGCATAAACCTGACATTGGGTGGACGTCTGATACACTTGTTAAGCTCTGACTACGTATATGTTTATATATATATTAGTGATTAATCTGAGAAAACATTCAACATTTATAAGTAGAGAGAGAGATATAATATAAATGCACATCTATGCAAACAGCAGAACCATGACTAGAAGTAAAAAGAACTCAAAATGTCATCTGTGCAGCATGACACAGGCAGAATGACACAAATCTGAAATAAACTGATTATCTATTTCTGAATTTCAGTTTCCACAGTTCTTACCAACACTGGAAAAAACGGAGGCTCCACGAACTACAGACATCTAACTATTTTATTTACAGCCTCTACAAACTGAGCCCATTTTGTTTCCTTTCTGTTGTTTGTTGTCTCTTTTTTCTTATTGTGTTTCTGATTCGTGACATTTCACTTCTCTGTCTCTTTGTGCTTCTTTTGTCTCATCCTTGTAATTTTTGCGTCTCCCTACTGTTATCTGGCGTCTTGTTTTTCTTGCTTTCCGTCTCCTATCTGGACTTTTTGTCTAATTCCTGTCGGTTTACTTTTTGTTATTGTTGATTTGTGTCTAGTTTTTCTCATTTCGTGTCTCATTTTTCTTGTTTGTGTCTCTTTCAGAAAGTTTGTCTCGTTTAGTTTTCTGTGCCGTTGGTGGGATTTTGTGTCTCATGGGGATAGTTTTCTGTCCTCTGTTTCATTTTGTGTCTCTTTGTGTCATTTTGTGTCTCTTTGTGGTCGAGTTCAACTAATAAAATAAGGAACGGTGCTGTTTTTAGCTGCACTCTGAAACTCTGGATTTCTGTCACCGGACTGTTGGTCAGAGCTGAGTCCGTCATGGAGAATCAGTTGTGCTGTGATGCGCAGAATTTGGGGGTTTTCTCAGAATTTGATAAGAATATACGGTTTATTTTTGGTGACTTTTAAAATGAAACATAAAATAAAATGCTTTTGATGAAGTGGAGCTCAGATTTGGTTAATTTTCTCGGCACAAACACGCATCACTGATGAGACGTTCATGAGCAGTCTGATAAATGGTGTCCCGTGGGTAATTTTTTTTGCAACATGTAACTTGATAGATAACTTGTCAGAACCTGCTGGGAGGTGTTTGGGTTCAGCGGGTAAAAGGATTTAACCTCAGCGTTCTGGTTCGTACCGAGAGCGAGGACACACAGGCCGATGATGATCTCTTTACTGGCGGCAACGCCGGCGATCAGTCGGTGCAGAACGCTGTTGTCACCCACAAACGTCACCACGGCCTCCGCAAACCTGGCGTAGCAGGAGACGTCGACCGGCGTGCAGCGATTAAACACCGGCAGCGGTTTGCTGAGGACAGACAGAGGGGAGGTCAGCGGCAGAACAAGGAGAAGCAGAGGCAGGAGGAAGAGCTGCACGTACCTTGGAGGAACTGGAAGTTTGGGACATTTAGTGAATCTCTCAGGGAGACCAGGATATTTATGACCTGCCAACTCATAGGAACACAGCTCAGAGCCTGCAAGACAAAACACAGGGACCAACTTCATCATCATCACCATCACCATCATCATGAAACTATTCAGGTGTCACAGATAAGCTGGTCCCTCTGTGGGAATCAGTGACAGAGTATTTAGGTGCTTTAAATGAGTCACTTTTTAGGTGTAGCACACAAACCTGTCCCTCTGTGTAAATCAGGTTTAGGTGGAACAGTTTAAGTGTTTCGGTTGTGTAAGTCAGGGACAGACTGTTCAGGTGTAACAGCTAAACTGGTCCCTCTATGTGAATCAGGGACAGACTGTTCAGGTGTAACAGCTAAACTGGTCCCTCTCTGTGCGATTCTGTGACAGTGGTTCCTTTCATAACCTACATGAGGAGCTGCGTGGTGCTGATTGAATGTCTGCTGTCACGTTTCAACACGTTTCTGTCTCTAACAAACAGTGAGTGCTCTGAGTTGCAGAGCAGCCATGATGGCGGACAAATGGAGCCGAGTGGCACCGACGATACGACCCATGTTAATGCAGCCTTTGTTACTGTACTGTGTGTGTGTGTGCGTTCAGTGCTGTGTGTTGTTGGTGTGTTTGCTGTGCAGACATTCGTCATCGCCGTGACGTGACGGTGATCGACCGTCCAACTGCTGACATCACTGCTTCCTCCAGAACCAACCTAAATGTGTGGAGTTCAGTGTTTGTGAGGACCTTCAGTCACACGGTTTGGACACACCTTCTCATTCAGTGCTTGTTATTTATTTGAATTATTTTCTACATTTTAGGTTAATACTGAAGATATCAAAACTATGAAAGAACACATATGGAATTATGCAGTAAGAATGGGCGCCCCTATATCTCACCCAGCTGAACAAGGCTGTGGTTCCCCGATGCAGCGGTTGTGGGTTTGACTCCTGCTCATGACCCTTTGCTGCAGGTCTCTCCCTATTCTTCTCCCCCTTTCCTGTCTATCTCTACTGCTCTGTGGTCCAACTCATTCCAAACCATCTCAGCTGGGTTTAGGGCGGGTGACTCTGGTGCAGCACTCCATCACTTTGTTTCTTGGTCAAACAGCCCTTACAGAGCCTGGAGGTGTGTGTTGGGCTCATTGTCTGGTTGGAAAACTAATGATGGTTCCAGTAAGCACAAACCAGATGGGATGGCACGGCGCTGCAGAATGCTGTGGTAGCCATGCTGGTTAATGTGTCTTGAATTTGAATAAATCACCAACAGTGTCACCAGCAAAGCACCATCACACCACCACAGCTCCTCCTCCAGGCCTCACGGTGGAACCACACATGCAGAAACCATCGCTCACCTTCTCTGGTCTCACACAGACACGGCGGTCGGAACCAAAAATCTCAAATCTGGACT